GTGAAATAGTAAGTGTGATTGCCTCTCACACCAGTAGGCCTCGGTTCAATCCCAATCGGCGCCGCCGGGATGTTCTGAGGCATAACATCTTTGATCAAGGGAAGTAAAGCCGTTGGTCCCCGGTTCATGAGTTCATGGGTCGATAGGTACGGTCCACGTGTGGGAACTGCCTCCCTGACGTCGGTAGCATTGGTGCTCAGCACGGAAAACAAGATCGACTTTGCCGAAGATCCAGTTAGCTCTATTGAGATTTTCGCTTTTGAACGTATATGAGCATTTTGTATATGAATATTTCAACTAAATCTCCTATATGAACATTAAACCAAAAACGCCAGCCCGTGTAACGTCATAAAGAGCTGAAACATTCAGAGAGTGGTTATCGCACCAAAAGACACTAGCCTGGATGTTGGCCTGTAGAAAACACGAGTCAAAAATAGCACTAGAAAAAAAAATCCAGTTTGTCTTAGTATTATTATATAAGAAACACTTACCGATTGGCCGTTGCATAATTGGGAATGTAAAGCTGGTGTCTTTTGATAAATGCGGGGAAGAGAAAATATATTAAATAACCCCTTGGAATCAGCCCTACATACTAGTTTTTACTCAATGTTCGATGTAATCAAATCATCAAAATTGATCGAAGTAAATCCTTGTCGGTCATTATCGCGATATTTCAACATTGGTTTTGCTATCAGTCGCGCCACCGTGCCCTGGTGCACGAGAGGCAAAATATTGCAACGAAATATTTGTTGCAGCATTGTATCCATTCCTGCTACTGCAACACCAAGGAAATGTTATTTCCAAAACCTCCCACAATGTTGCGCCACCGCTGAAAATCTCACACAAAGATAGCAGCAACACACGGAAGCAAATCTGGTCGGGATCCCACCATCATCATCGTGCATACAACCAACGGAGCACCCTCTTCGTCTTTCATTCGGTGGTGGCGCCATTGGATTGGGAAGTGCAAATTGTGAATGGTTCTTCCAGCTCGGTACACGCATGAACTGCAAGGATGCACTTCCGCTTGCTATATATGTAAAGAGGAAGAACGCTCCAGAGTTCAACAACATGGTGTGATCGGGCACCGACGACGTTCTTGGGCAGCGCTGACTGACTGTTACACGTTCATCGCCGTCGTCGGTCGAATGCAACAACAACGATAATCACGACGACGACGACGACGACGGAATCGGGGTGAAAGCTTTCTCCCAATATTTAGAGCTTTTACTGTGTTCCGCAACTTTCCTCTTTTATGGCCTGGAGGGTGGGTGAATGTGAATGAGGTGGGTGGGTGGTTTTCTGTCGGAGTTTCGGTTGAACCAAGCGGTTGATTGGAATAATCAACGAAGGGGTTATTCATCCTTAGAAGCAGTATTTGGGTCGGTTCGTGGAATGATTGGGTGCGGCTCGCCGGGTTTCCATGAGGCGGGGGTTGATTTCACACGCAGCTGTTACATTATGATTGATTCCCACGATGTGAATTACTCCCTGCGGAGTCCCCCCAAATGATGAGGTTGCCTTTTCCGTCGTAGTGTTGCCGAATATTGCCGTGGGAATTGTTTCAAGTGTCGGTGTCAAATATCAGTTTCCGATGGAGGCAGTGTTTATATTGGGACTCATCGTAGTATTTGTTGCCGATGGTGACATAAACCGAGCACAAATCATGTTGATAGTTTACTTTTATGGATTCCATTTCAACACTTGCTACGCAAATTGAAGTTTCAGCAACACTTGTTTATAAATAAATCATTCTTGAAACACGCACCACACGATTTCCGTTTACAGAAGCATAATTTTCACGCATTGCCAACTTCCTGCTGGTTAAGTAATTTAAGCCCATGTCAGTCGTCGTTTGACCCCCTATCAAATTACCAGTCACGAAGTCGGTGCTTTTTTTTTCGGTAAGCATGTCGCTGAAGTTGCTCGTGACAGCTTTGCTACTCGTTGCGTGTGCCATCCAGCAATCATCGTCGTTTAATTGCTTCGGAGCGGAAGAAATTGTGGCCAGTCCCAAGGTCGGACAGAGTCCATCGGACTTCGATCGTCCGCTGCATCCGTTCATGTTCCATCTACAGGATTGGCAGGTCCAGCATCACCATCAGCAACAGAGCCATGAGCGAGCGGTCATCTTTGAAGTGACACCAGAAGAACACCCGAAGATGTCCTATCGATGCGAACACGGTGATTGGTTGTATTTGTGCTGAAGAGGCGGAACAATAGGGTGACGGAATTGTCTATTCATCATGTAGAATTGATTTGTGAAAAATACAGATAATCAGTGGATTGACAGTTATGTCTTATTTTGAAAGAAATACAACTGTTTCTCTTGATCAACCCGGGTCTCCATCAACAGTAACGGGAATACGCAAATAAAAAATTTGATGAATGTGGAAATAATGTTGGAGAGCCGATCATTTTCTGTAAAACCCCAAATGACGTTCACAATGACGGATACAAAAGTGTTAAATTATTTAACCAGAACGAACTCTCAATCATACTGCATTTGGGGAAGGTTTGGAAAATGTTTGAACGATTCCAGAAGCGAACCAGATTCTGATGATCCAGCCATTATTCGGGTTTTCTCCTCTGCATGCATATATTTAAACGATGGAAATGGTTCTGTAAGTGTCGTATAGACTGGCCCTTGGCAAATTAAGCGGTGAAAGCTAGAGCAATGGAAATTCGAAGCAAGATACGTGTGGAATTAGGTACGTATTGTTAGCAATTTTCAACATCATATTTTTGTTTTTGAAGATGCAGGATTTTACCAGCTATTTTTTGTCCTTTTTAACAGGATTACGCATCAGTGAGCCTATGCCTAGTGGCGGCAATTCTTATGAATGGAAAACTGCTGCAAAAATTACCGGTCTCAATGAAAATCTGTTGGAGCGATTTCATATTCTGCTTACTGTTATTAACTGTAAGTGGAAGATTAATTATAATTCTTTGGAAATTTATGCAGTAGAGACAAGAGTTTTATGGCATATTTTATACGATAAGTATGCATTGTCTCCAACCAGGGTTGCTTCCACTCACTTGCTATAAAACAATGGTTTTCTAAATTATGAGATCATTAGATGTCATCAGATCCTGTGATTTCATTAACCAATAGAGCATCTTTGTCTTTCGGCAATCCTGCACTACCAGATAAAGCCAATCAATTAATTTTTGAAAACCTGCTTGATTTATTTATTTTTTTGTTTTTGGTTCAGTCAGTAGCTTATAACTAGTTGTAAATATATTTTTCTACTGTAAACCAGTCCGCAAGCTGCTGAGGTTATCGCCAAAAGCCTCAGAATTTGTAGTGGACTCTAGACGGAGAATCCTGTTGTTCCTGTTGGGAGATAAATAAATACAAGGCCTAATTAATTAGGCTCACAGGTGAGCCTCTCTCCAATAATTGTATCCCTCTGTTTTGTGGTGCTCTTCGTACTTTCCACAGTTTCACCGCCTCTCTGGTACGCTATGGGGAAGAAGCTGAAGCCTAAACTGCAAGTGCGGGACAACATCGTGGACTTTCTCCATCGCAGGGCGCGGTTTCTGAAGCAATACGATCCGGCTATTCATGCTCTACAGGTACAACATCGCATGGACAAATTAGACGAGAAATGGGAGGAATTCGAGGACGTCCAGATGCAAATAGAGGAAGTCGAGGAGTTGTACTTCCAGGTAAGGGCAGGGTTGAAAGCGAAGTTGCCATCCATCACTCCCTCACCCTCCCCTTCTACCTCCACTAATACACGTGTTGAGGCATGTGCTGGTATACAACTACCAAAGATAAATTTGCCAGAATTTAATGGGGAATTCGTCAAATGGTTGCCTTTTTTCGACACTTTCAAGTCGCTGATCCACACCAATCCAGATTTGAGCGGGATTCAGCGCTTTCATTACCTGCGAGCGTCTCTAAAGGGTGAGGCACTTAAGGTTGTTGATGCATTCCCAATGAGTGAAGCCAGCTACGGTGTTGCCTGGTCTGCTTTGACCAAACGTTATTCGAACGTTTATCTACAGAAGAAACGGCACGTCAACACTCTTCTACAGTTTCCGAAGATGAAGAAAATTTCTGCAAGTGGGATTCATGATGTTATTGAGACTTTCGACCGGCACACAAAAATCTTGGATCAATTAGGGGAAGTGACTGCAGGCTGGGGAGCGATGCTGACACAGCTATTAGTATCGAAGCTAGACGACGTTACGCAGAAAGACTGGGAAGAGTACGCTTTGAAAAAGGAGGATCCTGTATTTTTACACGTGATGGAGTTTCTGGAAGGCCAAACCCGCATTTTGGATGCAATAGCGGTTGATCAACGTCCCAATGGCCAACGTATTCTACTTTCCAGTCCACTCGCCCCGTTCAAGAAGCCAGCTCATAAGTTATCGGTTCACGTACCATCGGAGACTTCGTCGTCGAAGTGCGTGTTCTGTGGCGGTTCGCATTAAATCACCAACTGCCCTTCTTTTGCGAAGCTGAGTCTGGATAAGCGGTTCCAAGAAGCTGTGCAGCAATTGTCTTCGGCGTGACCATTACAGTAGAGATTGCACATCTACTTTCCGCTGTCGTACGTGTAGCAAAAAGCACCATACTTTGCTTCACCCGGGATTAGCGGCAACTAGTGCTGGGTCAGCGGGCAGAGATCAAGTCCTTGAACAAACGCAAACGGGTGGTTCCAGCATTTCTACGGCAGTTGCAGTTGGGACTCCACAACAATCCCTTCAAAGTTCTGTAACTTAAATCTACGCAGCTAATGTTGCATCAGAGCTACGCGATGTACATATGTTTCTGTCGACAGTTCTAGTGTCGGTGAAAGATTGTAACGGGCGTTTGCACACGGTGAGAGCACTTCTTGATAGCGGATCGCAGGCGAATCTTATCTCAGAAAGGCTGTGTCAGGTCTTGAAGCTCCCAAGGAAAGGCACTAGCGTGCCAATATCAGGTGTCGGTAGCGCGCGGATTCAGACAAACAGTTCTGTGTCGTATTACGGACTATGCGGTTCCGATGAGTTTCTTGGTGCAGAAGAAGGTGACGGACGATCAGCCATCGACGACTATTCCGATCGGTAGTTGGAATCTCCCCTCTGATATGGTCCTGGCAGACCCAGGTTTCAACAAACAGGTTCCATTAGACATTCTACTGGGTTTGGAGTATTTCTACGAGTTACTGTTATTGAATGGAGGTCGGGTCCAAATTCAGCGGATAGGTGAGGGTCTACCGCTCTTCGTTAATACCGTTTTTGGGTGGATAGCAGCTGGCAAGGCGGATTTTGGCAGTCTGAACCCAGTTCCATGCTGCCACGTGTCGGTTGACCCGACTCTAGGTGAGAAGATCGAACGGCTCTGGAAAATTGAAGAGATGCCAGATGTACCACGGTGGACCAAAGAAGAGCAGGATTGCGAGGAGCACTTTGAAGCTACTTTCTCTAGAGATGCCACGGGGAGGTACGTTGTGCGTCTGCCAAAACGAATGGGATTTGAGCGGATGGTCGGTGAATCAAAGGATATGGCCGTGCGAAGACTGGTGTAACTAGAACGGTGGTTGGACAAGAACGAAGAATTGCGCAAGCGTTACAACGAGGCGATGCAGACGTATTTAGACCAGAAACATATGGTGATGGTACCGGAGGAGGAGCTAAAGCGTGATAAACGGCTCTCTTGTTACCTGCATCATCATCCGGTAATCAAAGAGTCGAGTGCGACCACGAAAGTTCGTCCAGTTTTCGACGGTTCGGCTAAAACAACATCCAACTACTCTCTGAATGATGCTTTCATGACGGGTCCAGTGATTCAGGATCCGTTGTTCGATCTGGTTCTGCAATTCCGCAAGTACTTTATCGCTTTAGTTGGTGACATTGAGAAGATGTACCTGTAGGTGAAGGTACATTTTGATGACGCTGCTCTTCTGCGGATTTTGTGGAGATTTTCTTCAAACGAGCCCATAGCAACTTACGAGATGTCCAGGGTCACGTTTGGTTTGGCGCCATCATCGTTTCTTGCAGTTGATGTCTAAAGGTGGTTTTAGACTACGAAAATGGGTCAGCAACGCCAAGAGTGTGTTGGCGGATCTAGCCGCAGATGAATTAGGAACTCAATCCTCACTTAATTTCGAACAGGAACTGGTGAAAACCCTAGGAATTCACTGGCAACCAGGGCCAGATTTGTTGGGTGTAGACGTATCGGGTCTCGCTGTAAACGGACAGTGGACAAGGCGCAAGGTTTACTCCGTCATTGCTCAACTATGGGATCCTTGCGGTTTCACGCCAACCATCGACCCGTTCCTGCTCACTCATCGGTTCCTAGATCAACAAGGCATAATTCGCGTTGGTGGCCGGCTAAATCTCGCCGATGAATCCACCCCATGATTATCCCTAGTAACCACTCTTTCTCGCGGCAGGTAGCTGTAGCATACCATAACCTGTCGCTCCATTCTGCCCCCGAAAGACGCTCGCTCAAATACGGCAAGAATTTTGGCCCCTACGGTGTAAGGCACTGGCAACTTATACTTTCCGAAACTGCATTCGCTGCTTTCGAAGCAACCCTGTCCCTATATCCCAACCACCTGGTCAACTCCCAAAACCTCGTTCAACTCCCACTCGTGCATTTGCAGTCACTGGTGTGGATTATTGTGGTCTAGTCTACCTAAAGACCGCACATCGTCGAGCAGCTGCACTGAAAGCCTACATCGCAGTTTTCGTGTGTTTTAGCACGAAAGTGGTCCATCTCGAGCTGGTAGGGCACTTCACCACGGCTGTTTTCATGGCTGCGCTGCGACGATTTGTATCCCGTCGAGGGTTACCTACTGAGATCCACTCGGACAATGGTCTACGAGAGCTTTACGACCTTCTATCCGATCCAGTTCCTCAGAAATCGCTAATGAAACTTCTAATCGTGGCATCGTTTGGAAATTTATCCCACCAAGAGCACCAAACTTTGGTGGCCTTTGGGAAGCCGCCGTGAAATCTGCCAAGACGTCATTGCTCCGAGTCTTGGGCCAACGAAAATTGTCGTTCAAAGACATGACCACCATCCTCACCCAGATAGAAGCGGCCATGAATTCTCGTCCGCTTACGCCACTGTCGGAAGATCCTGATGAGCTAGATGTGCTCACTCCCGGACATTTTTGACTGGCTCATCGTTGCTGGCGATTCCCGATCCGGACTACACGGAGGTTCCTACGAACCGGTTACAGCACTGCCAGAAACTGCAACAACTAGTACAGCAGCATTGGAAGCGATGGAGGCGAGAGTACATCTCACAGCTGCACAACCAGAATCAACGATTCCCTCAAGCAACCCTGCTGAAGGTGGGTCAAATGGTGGTCCTGAAAGAGGATGGATCCGCAGCCATCGAGTGGCCTCTAGCCCGAACCATTGAAGTCTATCCCGGTCCCGACGGTGTAATCAGGGTAGTGAAGGTACGCACACCGAACGGTGCCAACTACAAACGACAGGCGTCACGTATCTGTTTGCTGCCATTCGGGAAGGCCTTGACTGGGCAGCCCACCAACACCTGCTATTCTCAACCGTCAGATACAACCCCGAAGGATGTAAACGCTGCAAGCCCGGAAAGCGCAACGTAGTTCCTGAGAAGAATACAGTATAATATCGTGAAACTTCCAGCATCTTTAATCTTAAGCAGCTTAGTTAAGATTTTTGAATTCATAAATCCCTTAACAGAATTTAGGTGGCCGGCATGTTAGGTACATTACAAAAACCTTCAGATGCGTTCTTTCCGAGCGCCCCCCGTGTAGCATAACTTCTCTTGCTTTCGGTTGTCTCTCTTGGATGTCTACACGGGAAAGCTATTGATACTGAAGTGTAACGCTTCTCGATTAGATCCACCCATACTGTAGTTTTTTTTTTGTTGATATGTTTTCTTTGCCTAAGTCAGTACCAATAAAAACGCCAAGTCGATCGGTCACCGTTGTCGTAAAATTAGAAAAATACAGTTTACATTTTTGTTTGCAATAAGGCCTCTCTTTTCTGTTTTACATTTGGATCGCGAGTGTTTTCTTTCAATAACGTTTCTCGACAATTCCACGGCCATAATTGAGACTTTATAACGAAGTCCGAAACAGAAGTATGCAGCAAAACGGGTGTCCAAGGTGCGTTTTTGGAAGGGTCCGAACAAAAACACTATCGGTTTTACTTGCGTCATTTTGAAATGTTACGTTTGAAAGTTTAGGCTAAAAGACTACAAAACTGTCGATAACTTTTGACAGAAAACTTGTACTGGTAAAGTGTCTTTGAAAAAAAAAATGCGTATTTTAAAATTAACTACAATCGCTCTGTACATAGTAGGCCAAAAAAGTGATATTAAAAAAAATATGACAGAAAAACTGATTTTGGCTTTTGTTTTCTTAAATGGCCTACATATCCAAACATAAAAGAGATTTACGAAAACAATGTTGTAAAAAGTTTTCTAGTTTTTTATGGTTCACAACCTTGTAGAACATTTAATTTCTCTATCTATTGAAATAAAAAAGTTAGGTGCTAAATTACGTTACTGGTAGAATTTGGCGTTTAGGACACTTTTTCGACCAACGCAAATAAAGCTCACAAGAAAATGTTTTGAAGACAACAATTCACTTCCTTATAGTAATGCTGTCGACTGGTGGACTGTTTGTAAATAAATTTTATCGGCTTTCAGTCTTTTAGCGAGTAAAACGATGTGTTTCCTCTACTCCCTACGTTTCAATGGTACATTCCATCTTTTTCAAGGGATCTACAAAGAATTGTTACATAGCTTTAGATGTTTCAAAATTTACAAGTTTTGTGACTTACAGAAAAAACGTTTTTTTGTCAGGTGGTCTGTGATTAACAGTGATTGTCATCACTTGATCGAAATCTTACATCAATTTACCTATAATTAATCGTCAATTAGTTGTCGGAGTCTAAATACACGTGCTACAGTCATAATTACTATCAAACAGGAAAAACGAAAAAACGGATAAGCTAATATTTTTCGAGTTATTAATTTATTGCACCTAATTTTGGTTCCTGGACCACTGTGCACTTTCACATACAATAAACCCTGCATATAAACACTACCGTTATCATAAGGATAATGGTACTGCATACACATTTCCACTGGCGCGTATTTAGTTTAATTTTAATATTTCATTTATAAAAATAATAATTGGCCTAGTCTTTAAGTTCCGCTGGTCTACCGCCGTTGAATTTTTCTTTTCTTTATTTCATTCCGTGCTTCACCGTAAATTTCCTTCCGTAGACCGTCCTTGGTCGATTCTGATATGATTTCGCGTTTGACCGGTTTTTCTTGTTTTCCAAGGGAATTTTGTCCATTTTTAGTCTTAATATTCCACTTTTTTTTAAACCAAGCGTTTTACTAAAATAAATCTAAGTTCATACAGGTTTTTCAAATAAAGTCCATAACAATAGCAAAAAAATCTATGTATATCTTTGACTACATGTTTAGTATTACTTCTGCGTGAAGTCAACGATTTACATTTGAACATGAAAATTTCAAATAACAGACTAAAATGATAATTTTTTTACGATAGATGAGGAGATGAATGTATAGTATTTATAGTTCCGTTAGAGTACGGCAGTGTGAAAATTGCACATAGAGAGTAGAAAGCGAGCAAGGACAACTTTAGGAAGGTACAAATCGGTTTGATCATCTCTCTTTACCAAACTCCCCCGTTGGAGAGTGATGGTGAGGTGTTATTCCCCCCGCTACCACTGGGAAAAAAGAGATGATCGCCGACTTGCTCATGTACCGACAATGTGTTTCAAACAGTTCTATCGATTTTTACCGCACTCAAGTTGTTATCTGAACAAAAGTTGCATTTTCCAAACCTACGACTGGATGCCTTCCTTCAGATAACAACTACTACTAACTCAAGGTATCTTCCAAATAAGCTTCCAAATTGTATTTTTTTTTCATTTTTTTTAATAATTACTTTATTTGTACAGGCTCAATCGAATAAACTTTACAGAGCCGAGTTATCCCTTCCGTTATACATTATAACTGTCTTATATTTAAAGTTAAAGGAACTGGACCGAGTACTCGCGGTTGTCTCGAGGTTAGTGGAGATTTACAATTTTTTGGATGGGAAAAGGGAAGAAGGAGGTTTGAAATGTAATTTACGATACAACTATTTAATTAATCCTAAAGCATGAAATTATTTCAATTCATCTTGAAAACAAACATTGAAAAAAAAACCCACACGTACAACATACAAACTAAACACAAGGTTAATCAAACTAACAATCTAAGGTTAATATTCTTAAAGTAAACATATATGAGTTTCATAAACTCCAGATCGCGTGTAGCCAAAATATCCCGAACTGGAACATTAGGTTGTCTACCTCGAACCCGAAGGGAATCATAAAAATGTGATCTGACACCACGATACTCCGCACAAGACCAAAGAATGTGATCAGCGTCCTGGTAACCTTGTCCACATTCACAGAGATTGCTGTCTTCCAACCCCACACGGAACAAGTGAGCGTTTAGACAATAGTGATTGGACATGAGACGAGACATCACGCGTATGAAGTC